TCTTCCAACTCATTTGAGACTCAGAGGACGATGGCCTCGTCCAAAGGATGCCTTCGCTGGCGCCGAGACACCAGGCGCGGCGCCGCTCTTCCTTAGCGTACCGCCGTGCCGCAGGCAGTGGCAAACAGCAGAAATCTGTGGAATACACCGTGGCCCCCATTCTAAAGCCATCCCAGTCCACCGTGTCGGTCGATCAACCAAAAACACGAGTTGACTGAGAGGGCAGAATCACAAGCACTACCAAAGATATGCCCCTTGGAGCGGGCCAGAAGAACAAAACCAGTCCCGTCAAAGCGTTGGTCTGATAAGAAACCGCTGTCGAAATGCAAACAAGCGTGCTGAGCAGCAATCTTTGACATCCGAAGCCACTGGTTGGAACAAGGTCTTACTGTATAATTATTAATAAGTCTATAAATATATATATAGAGAGAGAGAGAGAGAAATATCAAAGTCAGCTTCTACTGCAAATTCCTTGCTTGGATCTATTGCTTCACTAGCACCCCGCGGGGACCAACTCTAAAGGTGTAATCACCAGGTTAGCTCGGCATGGGTCTGGAGAATCTGCAGTGCATAGAATATATCTACCGATCAGTTGGGGTGGTTGGAGCGTCTGGGATTTGCAGGATTGAGCATCGGCTTCTTCCGTGAGCCCAGCCCTGCCAGTGGATCCCAAAGACCTTCATCCTGGCTCTGCTCCTGCGGAGAAGACATCTGTGCCGGGCTCGGGCGGGTCCGCACCGGCAGGAAAGAGTGAATAATATGGCCTACTAGTAGTAATGCCGCAATGCCCTTGTTACTAGTAGCGGTGGCCTCCAACCTAATAGCGATGGCCTCCACCTAGTAGCGTCCTTACTAGTAGCGATAACATGGCCTTGTAAATTTGATTGGTTCTGTAGGTTACCTTTGCGTCTCCCTTACTCAAAGTAAAAAAACGTCAAGGCACTTGACTAAGCCTTTAAGTATAGTATAGTTATCCCCTTCCAGGTGTACAGGGGAAAACCAGCCTGTCTGCTGTCTATGTGTCACATCTTGCTTCATTAAGCCATACAACATCAATTGAGAAAAACACACACAAACAAACATATAAATCATACCAAACATACACTCACCAAAACAAAGCATGATATGGCATAGCAGCCAAAAGGCTCGGACCAGTCAGTTGTTCATGTTTGGGCTCCCCCCGTCAGTTCCACCGTCCACTCCTTGGCTGCCGGCCTCTTGCGTTTCGTGAAGGCCTCGCGGTTTTTGCGACGACGGACCGCACGGGCCGTCGCGGTGGGAAGGACCCAAAGGTCCAGCTCCGTGGAGCGGGACGAGTCCGGGGAAATGATTCATGTGGTGTGTAGTGTATCCCTACAAGTCCAATGACCCAGTAATACCAGGTCGTTTGCTTGCTTGAAGGGTGTTTTTGTATTACCAACTCCAGTAAAATGAGGTCATTGACCTGTAGGGTACACTGGAGGGTGTAGTGACGATCAACTAAGTGCAGCATTTAGCCCTGCAGAGCCGCGAAAGGCGGCGAAAGCTAGGCTGAAAAGACCCCCTGGCTTGAGCGTCTTTTACTTAGTCATGATCGCTTCAATCAAGCCAGGTGCGAATGGACCTGGAACAATGAAGGTGAGCCTCCAATCCGCCCAGCTTGGCCAGGCTGTCGTCGGCGCCTTTCTCTCCTTCTGAATCGCTACCTTTCAGATCCTGCACTGAGGGGCCCGGCACTGAAGCACGAGCGGAACGGAACCGCTTCTCGGTGAGCGAACCGCTTTGAAAGAGAACAAGTCCCACACGAATCCCTGCCTTTGATGGACTAAATCTAACCTAGTCTGGCAGATTTAATTTGTGTGTCTATGGCATAGAACCAGGGGACATCCGAAACACATCTACAACGCGTGTGTTCATCCGTGTGCTCCCGGATACAGTAAACTAAACAGGATTCAGTTTTTGAAGTCACCGTCTAGGTTGGTGTAACTGCTTGCAAACCTGAACACCCAAACACTCCATGTGCAGCATATTTACCTACAGTGACACCTCAAACTACTCCCGCTACTCCAATGCAGGTAAAGATGCAATGCATTGAGTGTTTGAGATATAGTCAGGGGAGGGCGCATGCTTGACAAAGCCCTGTGGTTGCAAAGTCCTAGTGCAGCGGATGCATCTGCCACTAGTTTGGTCGGGGAGGATATCTCATCTATGCTTCTGATGCTGAGTTGGATAGTGTCTAGTATCTAGAATCTAGCTGCTAAACAACTTCATTCTGAGCCAAACCCACTTCTTTTCCATGGAGTCCCGGCTCCTCCTCACTGTCATCGTCACCATCTTGGAGTCCTGGCAAAGGCTCAAGGTCAATCTACATGGTGGACCGGGGCTGCAGGTACTGACCCATCCCCATGTGTTGTTTGGGGAACCACACAATGTCAGTCACTCATATCGTGCTTTGGGTGGTGTCTTTCTGGAGTGACGCAGCAGACCCCTGATGTGTTTTCACAGCAAACATTGTCCGAAACGCTTCTTTCCAGGTGGGTTCAGCCAAGTATCCTGGTTTTGACCCACAACCACTATTACCCCGTGGTACCCGTGTTCTGACCAAAGCACACCAACATGGGTTTGTCACAACAGTGGTCCATGGACCAAGTCTCTTCGACTACCTGGCATACAGAATCAGCGCAGCAGTATATCATCTGCATAAGGGATTCCAGCATCTGGCGCTTAAAGACTCGAACCCTCTGACGTGCTACTTGAAGCTCACATCGACCCCTTGGAAACTCAGCCAAGAAATTGGTTCAGGGGGTACGCCTCTGTCTCTCCTTCTGTCATGTTACATGTTTCTTGTTCTGGCGTTCTTGGCGTTCTTGGCCATCCAGTGCTTCTCGGAGTTCCACCCTGTCCTTGGTCTGTCTGTGGGTGGAACTCCGGCTGACCTTGGACAGCTGCGGAGGTAAGACTTGCAAGCTGAGAATAGGAAGTGGGCGGCGCGTAGCCTGGCTTTCATGGGTAGCACAGGATTGACCTGGATCCAAGCGGGATGGACCATGATGGACCTCGGGTCGAAGGGAATGCTAGACGCATTAGATGGCCAATCACTGACCTGTGTCAGTAAGCCTCTTTAGGACATCCTGATCTAAACCAAACTAAACTTCCTCTCAAGCGATTGGAACTCTACATCTTCTGGAGTGTCCCTTCTTCGCTTTGTAAAACCACACATTGCCGCGCTTCTGTTTGCGTGCTCGACCCAAACACAGCACAAAACCAAAGAACGCCAGCACCAACCGGAGAGCCCTAAAACCACAACTTCCTGACCAAACCCTGTAGCCTTCATGATCTTAAGGGCCACAGTAGCCACGGTGATACCTTCCGATCATGCCAGCGAATCCACCAAAGATCTTGTCTCAGGCGCTGACCATCGTCGTCGTCATCACTATCAGGATCATCCCACCTTACTGCCGTGTCCGATCGTGGTCAAAATACTCTCTGACATCGAAGTGGAACCTGACCCTAGGATAACTATCTTCCTCTACAAACAGGGTGATTTCCGCTTTTATGTTAGTGAGTCGGAGCGTAGATCAACATGGTCAACAAATGTTGTGCTTGGTCAGGACTCTGATATGAAGCAATCCATGTTCCGAGTAGGTGTCCCATGGGGGTCCTTCCTGGCTCTTGCATGACAAGCCATGTCAGAAACCAACAGAAATCCCAAGAACATATCCACCAATGGTCTCACCTCATGACTCATGACAGTTGATTCATAGGTTTGCCAAGGGTAGGGCCTGCGATCACCATATACCCTGTTTACCCTTCTTTCATACCAAGGGTATGAAAAAGAAGTTTGTTCATGGGCTTGTGATCACCGTCTCACACAGTATCTTCAACTTCTTTGTCTTCACGAACCTTGCGGCACATGGATGGACTGCCCTTGAATGGGAAACAAGAATCAGGCAAGCACTGGCAAACATCCAGGACACATAGTAATAAACCCTGGCAAGCAGCAACTCGGTACAGAGTCGCAAACAGCAACACTGCAACAATGTCAGTGTTTACCATTCAATGTGTTCAGGCACATATTACAGCATAAGTATTTATATACAGCACTAAAAAATATATATGTACTATTACTACAAGTATATTTATATATATATACCATCACACAAGCATCCCCAGCCATGGCCACGACACGAACTGGGTCCCAGGTACCGTCGAGCCTCGCGCCCAGGTAGGCGAGGCGGCTTGGGGCGTCCCATGGCGCTGATGGTATGACCAAGAATGGATGTCAGGTGAAAGGGCTTTTCTCCAGGCTTGACACAATGAGAAATAGACTTGACACTATGGATGTCAGGGGAACAATGATGAAGGTTTTGCAGGTTCGTCGGTTCTTAGCTTGACTCAAGGTCCATGCAATATTGACTTGTTCAAGCACCTCATCAAGGACAGCAATGAACGTGTCCTGCATCTCAGGGAGTGTTGAGAACCTGCTCCAGATTTTTGCCCGCTTCACTAGAGGCTGTGCAAGGAATGCCGATCTCTCTTGCCCACTTTGGGGCTGTCCGAAGCTTGGAGCAATTAGAGGTCAGGCAAAGAAAGGCGGGATAGAATTGTTCGAGCACGGCCTTCTTCTTCGTGCCTGAGACATTTGGAAAAGGACATGGCATGTTGCATAGAAACCAGGAAGACAACAAACTACCCAGGTCCCCAACGAACTACACATGAAGAACTCTTCAGTTCGTTGCCCCGCCGCTGGGCCCGCTGGTTCCCAGCTGCATGGGCCGCTGAACGGGTGGGACGTCAAAACGCTCGGAGGGTCGGATGAGGCAAGATCTCACATCTCATCTCCCTGGGTCCCATGGGTTTTGGAACCACCCTACACCTCCGTACCGTACTTCCTCAGAAGGGACTTGGACCCTCTAAACCAAAACTCAAACACCTTCTCGCAAGGTACTTGGAGCCCTAGGGCCAGTCTGAAAACCAACGACGACTGGCCACCGTCGGCAACGACTGCAAGACGGCGCCACCGATCCCCCAGGTGGTACAGCTCCAGGACCGCCTGAGTTGGACACTGCACTCGTCCGCGCAGCCACATGGCCACACCCACCACAAGGACAAGACGAGGGTCAAATGCGACACAGGAGGTGGACAAGTAGACTCAAGCAACTAAAACAATTGCACTGGGTGCTCGTGCTGGGTGCTCCTTTGGTTGTTGGGTGCTCGTTGGCCCGATCTTTGGTGTCTGTCTATCTTGGGTACCAATGATACGTCCGATAATAGTTAAATCAAATTTGCTGGTGTTCAACTGCGACAGTCGTCATTGAGGTACAACAAACAGTTTGGGGAACAGTTTGGGGACTGCGGCAGCATGCCTCAGAACATTGCTGTCAAAGATCCTTTCCTTTGCACGGTCATAGACTGGATTTCAGCAGGTCACTGCAAAGCAAGGGGTGGTGCGGTGACAGGCAAACCAAGAACAGCCCGTCACACCGGGTGGGTGCTGTTCTAAGAACTCGTGGTTATGCCAGGAAGCGGTGTCCCCACTTCCTTGGAAACTCTTTTCTGCGGATGCACCAAATCTATTCAACACTTGCAATGTGGTAAACCATGGGGCAGTTTCTATTTGTCCTTCCAGTGAATCTGCTCTCGTTCTGAACACATTCTGTTTGGGGATCTTGTCTGTTTTCTTCGCTTCTCCAACGGCGCGGCATGGCAAACTCACCGTGGCGAAAACACTGAGGCGGTCACTGAGAAACTGGAGAGAGACATGGTCGCAGCCTGACCGGAGCCCAAGGCCCCGAGGTGCCAACAAAGAGCCAATTCGAAGCAAAGAAATCGCTTCAACAAACCATGTCTTCATGTGAGGGAGTTGAGTAATTATAGTTAATATAATGCTTTGACCAGTACGTCGTGCTTCACCTTGTCTCTGGCCATCTGCCCGAGAAGGTCACCAGAAGAGGTCACGAACGCAGCACTAGCTGCATGTGTTTCACACCGCAAAATCGCCAGATCGAGGCCAGCACATCGAGATCTAATGTGTACACATAGTGCATGAAGTCCAGGAGAACTTCCTTCCGTGCCTTGGCTCCCCAAAAAATGGTGGGCAGGACGAGTCGCTTTGGAGGAGGGTTCAAGAAGTTGTGTCACACGTTTTTTTTCCTGGTGTTATTGCCCAGAGACCACCCACCAAATCTCGGGGGGAACCTGATGTGAATCAAGACCCTTCGCCAAGCTGGCCCGCAAGCTTGGCAGGGCATTCACCCAGTTTCAACATGGCTGGCTTTATCACAAGCCTTGGGGATGAATGTCAAAAACAGGGGCCAACATAGTCCACTTTCTTTGGCAAAACGTTCTGATGGACAAAGGTGGAGCTTGGAATTCCAGTGTCCAAAGTCTACTCCATGTGATTCGCGGAATACATGGCATGATAGGAAATGATAGGAACATGTTGAGGGCACACGAGCAACTCAAAAACAAAAAACATGCGTGAAACCTGAAACCCATGAGCAGGACTTGTAGGACTTATTCAATGGACTTTCGGGTTCCGTGCAAATCTGATCAAGGGCGCAAAAAACATCCAACGAGTTTCAGGTTCCGGCATTGGTCAATGCGACCTTGGCTTGTAGAGTGGCGGTTTGTGCGTCGTAGGGAATGGATTTCAACTATATCATACATAAAGTATATTATACAGCAAGGCTTCCAACCTCAAGCATCCAACACGGGCACCAGCCATTCATTTGTCTGAATATGTATCTTGCTATTCACTGACTAGAGCATAGAGGCTGTACCATTGCACCAATGCTCCCAAACTGCTGTGGCTATACGATCAATCATAAATCGGTAAATATTATATGGAAATACAAGTCAAGGTTGCATCTTAAAAAGACCGACAATGAAAGCTCAAAGCTCAAACATTGTTTGTAGGAAAACAAATTCAATGCCATTTGTAGGTTCTGCAAGTCGTTGTGAAACAGCATGTTCCACATATATTGTTGTCTCATGTTGTCTCAAGCGTCGAATCTCACTGGACAATGTGGGGCAATGGCGAGTGGAATCTGCTGGTCTCCATCAACCGCGATGTTGCTGATCACACCATCCTTCGCAATAGTCAAACAAGCTTGGCGACCCGCAATGCCCGAACAACAAAGATATCATGACGCTGGCACTCCATTATGAGATGTATACTGTATGAAGGTAGGCTCCAAAACACTCAAAACACAGAGGACCTGTGTTTTCCACCAAATTGTTCAAGCCCAAAACACTGTCTCATGCCAACATCTTCAGCCCAACATGAGCATGTCAGGCATTGGGATTAAGGTTTTCATCTGGCCCATCTTGAGCAAAGCCGTGACGACTCTGGGCATCAGTGGAGCCCCGATTAGCCGCCGCTGAACGCGCCAACGGCGCCAACCGACATTCGGAACGCGCCTGTATTTGGGCGAGGACGTAGGAATGTAAGGATGAAGCCTGGGAAGCAGAGTGGACTGGGATACACTAGGATACTCGGATACACTGCTGAAGACCTACCATAGAGCCTGACTTAAATCCCTGGAATCAGGGTACCTATTTGCAACTGCCGCTGGGTCTTGAAAGACACCCTTCGCAACTACTGGGAGGACAATGCTCCCGATCACTGTCCCGATTCAGTGCTCCATGTGGCCCACTTTGGGGTACAGTACTTCCTTCAGAAGAACAGGACCTGAGCTACGATTGATTGAAAAGAGAACATGGAGATAAGCCTCTCCAAGCGGGCAACACGGGGGAGCCTCTAGTTCTGTATGGCGAACCCATATAATATAACCTTCACACCTTCGTGGATCTAAAGAACTCACAGTCTGAGGCTCTCGCGTTGTGCTTCAATATGCACAAGTGAGCATAGAGTATACTTCCCTCACCTTGGCCCAAAAGCTGCATGATGAATTCTGTGTCTGTCTGCAAGACTCAGGCAAGCAGTACCAGTATCTCGAATCAGGACGATGGCTCCACAAAATCTGTTTCAGAACATCAGCTGCAAATGGAATCGATGTCCGGTCAGTGAGCAAATTTCTGTGAATGTCAGTCAGTCAGTCAGTCAGCCAGCCAGTCAGTCAGTATATAAGTTTCCAGTCACCAGTCAATCACCAAATTTGCAGTCGAACAAGAACGCTTCATTTGATCTTGACTGAGTGGCTACTGCGAAAGGCCACATCGGCCAGCATCTCGCCTGAGCATCGCCGAGGTTCGTCCGGTTCGGCTTCGGTTCACCCCGGAATGACTCGCTGAGCCAGCTTAGCCAGCCTGCGGATAGCACTGAAAAACGCCCCGAAGCACAGAGTCATCACCTGGGATTTTCTTGGCCATTAAGAAAGTATAAGAAAGTCATAAAGGAATTCATCACAATGAACTCCACTCCAGTCTCTGAGAAATGGATATGGCAGGAAAAACAATACTCAAGAACAAGATTCAAAGAGCAGGAGCCTGTTGTTTAATCATAGGGTAGTTTGGGTAGTTTGCTCGTTTCCACCAGTGCACCAGTGTGTGTGTGTGTGTGTCATGCATGATAGGTTTCTTGCTTGGAGCCAACATGTCCTATGGACAAGAGAGTAGCCCCAGAGCAAAGCAACCGACAAATCAAGAAGAAAAGGAAGGGCAAGTAAAGCAATAATGGAAAATAACAGCCAGAGACCAAAAGTGTTCAGAAACCTGGATTAACAAGCTGTTTAATGTTTAGTTAGTGTTTGTCAACATGTACCTGCAAGCGTTTTCAAAACATAACTGCCCTGTTGAAGGCCTCGCAATTTATCCAGTATTTCTTCAGAAATTGAGGAAAACAACAAAAACGGTGACTACAATTGCTCATGACATTGAGCAGGGCGTGTCCCGAGCTCGCAAAGAATCTTTCCACATAATGGCCCAAAACTCAAGCATATTCAAGCATGGCGGGCATCTTTATGCAAACACCAACTCGATCGTGTCAACAACTCACCCCATCCACCCTCTAACAAAACCACTGAATCCAACTCCCATGAAAAACTGCTGGTGTTTCACCTCCTGTTCAAAAGAGATTGCCAACAAAGCACCTTTCTGATATTTACACCATCGACTCAATGCCACGAAGGAAGCTCAAAGTTCTTCCGTTGTAGTCATCAACTCAACTGCTCAAAATCCAAGCCCCCTCTGACAAAACAGCTGTTTTGGTCACCCCCAAATTCAGGGCGAGTTGCTGTTCACCAAGGTGGAGAGGCTGAAGGCCAAAGACCTCACTCCGCACGGTCTTTGGCAGCTCTGAGTCCCAAAAGCTCGGCCTCCGGATCTGCCACTCACTGCATGGGCCACACCATGAGAGTGTCATAGGTCCATGCGCCGCAACTTACATTCGACGGATCATGAATCATTCGACGGATGAGGAGATGGATCCCAAAATGAAGAAACTCCTGGGCATCAACAATTCTAACAACTCTGAGGCATTCTGACAACCCCAAAGAAGACTGTCTTGCAAGACGTGTGGAGACAGCAAGCCAGACATGATGCCAAAATCTGAATGAAAGTGCCCAAGCCTTGAACATGTCCAAGATAGTGATCAACAGGGTTGACATAAAAATCAGATTTAGAGACTTCGGCAAAATAATGACACATTGACCATGACATGACCTGTTCCATGCCATTCGGTCCTTGCATGTCCTCTCCTGCCTCCCTCGCCGCCGAACCCGCTCCGATCCAACGGGAGTTCCCCGGCTGATCCGGCTCGGTGATCGCCAAGTTGTGGACCTCACCGGTCCCCGGTCGGAGTGACGAGTCGGAGGTTCTGCAGGTGTCGGTCCAAAACAGGTGAAACACGGGGAACCTGCGCAGCGCAGCCATGGGGTGAAACACCGAACACCAAACAAGAACACCTCTTTTCCTCTTGCGCACATCGAAGGCAAATTGCCGGTGATCGCCATGCAGTCTAATTATGGGAGTCCCTTCCTTTATCGCAAAAGTCTTTACCCATAGAGGCTTCAACATCAAACTCGGCACATAAGGCTTCTGTAACCTCAGTGAACCAGGTGGGAATGGGTAGACCATTTGCGGGTATGGGCTGACTGGCTAGGGATATTTCTGCAAGCGTATGACAAAGAGCCTTTGGGTACTCTTTGAGGCGTGTTGTCCGCCATTGCTTGTCTTCACCCAAGCCAATCGCCGCAAACTTCGGAAGGGGGGTCGTACGCCCCTGGACAAGCCGTTCTTCAGCTGTCGGGGTAATGTTCACAAGTAGTAAATCAGTGGGCTTAACTGCGTAAGCTCCAAAATGGCCTTGGAGTACTCGCACTTTCCGACATCTGGGGAATTTGAGGAGAAACCTGAAAAAGGCCAAACGCCAAATGGACACTGAATTCCAGGTATTTTCATCCTCTCCCGGGTGCTCGAGGATGGCACTGCATCCTGTGCGCAATGCAACTATGAGCAGTCTGGCCGCTACACCGAGGAGCAGACTCCCTATGGTGGTTTGTTCATCCTCTCGCTTATTGAGAAACGACATGCCATGTGGCTCAGTCAGGCTGCGCAAAACACGTGGGCCTGGTCTGCCGTCCTCGAGGATCTGTCCTCGTGCTTTGCTCCAAGTTTCACAGGGTGGTCCTGCTAACCAGCCCAGGATGATTCCTTCTTTCATTGCTCGGGCAATCAGAGCAAATGTCTGCGGTCGAGCCATATCACCTAGTTCTAGGTGGAAAATAATGTCAATCGAAATGGCAATTGCGTGGGCTTTCTCAATGCAGCTCTGGAAGTCATCTTGCCTGCGGTGTCCTGAAAACAAATGCGCAAAAACCCCCGGTTTATAGCGAGGTTGTCTGTGGACTTGGTAGGCAAAAGCTTCACATGATTCTGCATATTTCTGAAAGAAACTCGTCGCCTCAGTCGTCTGGGGATTCTCAGAGGCTAGTTGGTCCGTCAGCCAATGATAACTGAGCTTTGACCCAAACAGACTCAACGTCTGAAGCTCCTTAAGAGTCAGGCTTTCGTTTACTTCAGTTTGGGTCTGCCATGCTTGGTATGCTCGACGCAGCTCATCGGGATATAACCACGTCGATTGCGTGGCTTCTTTCAACCCTGTGAGTGTAAGCGGAGCACTATCCCAGGCTTGGTAGAGACGGTCAACTTCAGGCTGGACCCCTGGTTCCCAATCATCAGTATCAGCAGGTATCAGTTCTTTCGGTCCCTCTCCAACAAAAAATGGGTCAGGTAAGGCTTCCCAAGCTTGATTGGCAGCACGACTATTAACTCCAGGACCAATTTGCTGGAGGAGGGGTTTCCCTTTGTAGAATTGCAAACATTTCGCACTTCTTTTAACATGGTTGATCGTATGTAGTTCACTTGCATAGACCTTGAGACAAGCTTCACATCGAAGTCCTTGCACAAAATAGCGAGCGACATTCAGTCGCGCATGCTTTTTGAGGCCATGCACTGCCAGCGCTGCTGGCCCCTGGAAGGTGACACGGCAAAACAAACAATAGTATCTGTCGGTTTCACGTGGCACAAGTTCAGTAGGGATCATCTGATGGTCAATGAGATCTGCAAGGGCCTGTTTGTGCCAGTTCTCCCATTGGAATTGTCGTTTCTGTTGTGCAATCGCTCGACAGACAGCTCGGCGAACGACCGATTTCCAATGTCGCACCGCTTGGAAAGCCCAAGCGCAGATCTCATCCCGCGTTTCCTGACAAAGTTGCGGGATGGTTTCCTCCGGGCACCTAGTTTGCAACCATAGAAAATCATCTTGTAATTGGGCAAACCATCGCTGTTCAGTCTGGATCATCGCCCAAAAATGGGCTTGGCCTGTTCGGACCACTTGCATCCAGTATCGCAACCTTGCATTCCGCAATAGGACATCTGGTTCTGGAAGTGACAATTCTGCCAGTACCTTCATAGTTGACCATTCAATTGCTTCTCTGCCAAAATGGGCTACAGCAAGTCGTTTGTACAACTTCTGGAATCCATTGTGGACTTGGTTGTACTGCTTCTTCGTCTGCGGCAGCCATGTAGCACTATTGAATGTAATAGTGCTTCGGATCAAGGAATGAAAGAATTGGACTTTGATCGTCAACTTCATCTGTCGGTTGCTAAACAGTTGTGGCCTGTATCTGGTGAATACATCGTGGGCGCATGCAAATTTGATCTGCACATCTTTAGCTAGCGCTGCTCCTCTTTGAAGGACTGTGCCAAGATGCTTATATGTTCCAACAAGTCTCAGCGGTTCCGGAATTCGATCCGTCGGCAGTTGAATGAGGTGGTCTTGCGCAGCAATATTTCTTCGGACTGCTACACTACCTGGCCCACGGAAATCTACCAGAACTTCAGTTTTTCCCTGTTGCATATTAGGTTGTAGTCCAGCAAGGGCAAGCCTATCCAGAACAACTGTGGTAATATCTGGTAACAACTCCAGGAGTGTACTGGCTTGGCAATGCTTGGCCGCTAGAGCAATATCATCGGCCCATATCGGCATCAGTGGTCCTAGTTCTCCACCAGGTACGACAGATGGAAATGGTGACAATTTACCGCTCCATGAAATGGCCAGGCATGGAAATCGCTCTGACAAAGTTTCTGCAACTTCCTTCATGATTTTAGCCAGAGTGAACCCAAAGCAGACATCTGCAAAGGAGTCTCCAGGTCTACTGCCTCGTCTGGTGGCTGTGACTGTGGGCGATCCATCAACAGTAAACCATGTCGCGCGATAGAATTCTGCGAAAATGCTGCGCAAAAAAGGCGAAGCATCCGAAGTTTCAAGTGCTGGCGGTTTGTTGAGGAGTTCAATGAACTCACTTAGTGCAGAACGCGGCAGTCGTAATTGCTGGAAAAGTTGTTCAGCTGATCGCGTATCATTTGCTGTGGTCGTAAAATGTTGCCGAATCAGACGATAGAATGCATTTTGGACATCGATGAACAAAAAGAAAACACTCTCTTGGGCATGGATCGCCGCCTTGTGAAACAGCTGCAAGGTATGATTGGCCTGTGTGATAGTTTGGCCCTTAAGGCCGCCTATCTGCATTGGTAGTCGTTCTTGTTCGAACACCTGGCCAAGTTCATTCCTATAAATGCTATGAAGTGTTTTGCCGATCACGCTGGAAACAAACAGGCTGCGATAGTTTCGACATAAAGTGGCATCGCCTTTTTTAAAGGCAGCTACTAAGCGCCCTCCCTTATGCAGCAAAGCTTCTCTCTGATAAGAGGCTTGTTTGTAGAGGAGCGGAAAATATGCCGATGTGAGACAGTCTGGTATGGCAGCCAAGAGATCTCCTGGGACTCCATCTATGAAATAGGCTCTTCTTCGCATAGTCTTCCTGAAAGCTGCCTCTACTTCAAGCCGTGTGGGCAAATCATCCCAAGCTGGGTCTATCAACTCAGCATGTTGGATCTCAGTTCCTCTGGTCACATATTCTTCGACAGTGAGAGGTAGACCATCCTCTTGTTCGGCAAAATACTGTCTCCAATGTTCAGCAACAGCTTGGAAAGTTTCCAATGGCATCTTCTTGCGACTCTGGATACCCCAGGCGCGGAGTTCTCCAGCTAGTTCTTGCTGGTTCATGGTCTTGGACATCTCACCTAGCTTCTCCAAAGCCTGTGTCCTATCACGTCTCAAAGCCTTACCAAGGTCTCGTGTTGCCTGTGCCGACTTGGCCCGAACCGACGAGATCTGAATCAGCTTGCGAAGGCAATACATCAGCAAAGTTTTCCGGCAGAACTGGGTCGTTCCTTTGAGAACTCCCCATCCCATCTTCTCCGAGAGGTGGGCACATTCTTGTCTGAGATCTCGGAGGGTTCTTCTTTGTTCAAGCCGGCCAGCTCGAATTTGCCACGTGGCTTCAGTGATATAGCTTTTACGTGGTCGATTTCCTTGGACTGGAAAATGTTCTGCTAGCTTCTGTCGCACCCAGGCGGAGAGTCTTGTCGCATGACTATCGACATCAAGATTCCACGGAATGACAGGTGGGTTGCAGAACATTGACAAAAGCTCATGCCTAGATGCGCACTGCAACCTACGTCGATCAAATCTATCACGATTTGGCTGTGATCGTACTACATCGTGGAAGAATCGAACTTGTAACATGAGCGGCGTGTGATCAAATCCTTGTGTCCCTGCGTCAAATCCTGCATGAGGGCTCGTTGTTAGTTCCGCATTCTGCCAATTGCAGGGGACAAGCAGGTAATCGCAGCGGGCCTGTGCACCGCTGACATTGCTTGTCCAGGTAGTCGTGGTCCCTGAGTGAATTTCTTCAAATGTGCTAGGCAACATAGCATCAAACTTCCTTAACAGCTTAAGCAGGCATTCTCCTGACAGGTTGCCTTTTTCTTCTAGGCCATGACTACCAACATGTGGCAGACTGGCTACTTCAAAGTGCCCATTTGCATCAATACCTCCAATGAGGTACGTACTGGTGGGCACCCATTGGTTCAGTACAGCAATCAGGTCATCCCAAAAGGCTCGGATCTTGTCAGGTGGCGACCCACTGTGTGGCGCATGGGCTGAGAACAACAGGAGCGAGATGGAGTGAAACAAGGCTCTTACCACCAGAACTTCAGACGACGCATGGAGAACTCGGATGTGTTCTTTGGCAAAAATTTGTCTCCCATCTGATTGTCTGTTCCGGAGTAGCCAAATCTCAGATCCTCCCTTACCATTCTCCGCCGCTGCACTCAATCGAAAATGTGACTGCGAAGTGGTAAGTTGGGACTGCTTGGACCTAGTTTCTTGTAAAAAGACAATATCGTACTCGCAGGTATCAGCTTGAGTCCGC